TCAGTCTGGCCATGGAAAACTCTCAGAACCCTTCTATTCCTTCCCACCTGGAATATTAATAGGTCGTCCATAATCATCAAATAACACTTCACTGGATAACTCCGATCTACTACCACCATATGTATCGGCTTTTCCCAACCGGTGCCTTTTTAGAATTACTCCACTGATTGCTCATCTGAAATCAACACAGAAAAAAGTCAAGAACTCCACACTAACACTTACGAACCTATACATCCACACAGGTGCGTAAAAATAACTATCACATAAAGAATTTAGGGATTAATGAAATTATGATTTAGGGATAAATAGAATTAAGATTTTAGGGATTAGGGTTTAAGATTTGAGTAATAGAACCTGTAGCGCAGCAGAGACGGCGATGTCGACGAGCGATTTTGACGGCAAACACCCAGGCGTTGGGAATGATTGTCGCGACGTTGGAGTCTTGGGCATTTTTCTTGTAGTAAGCGGTAGGCGACGGATTTAGGTTTTGGAGATGGAGGAACGGTAGAGGAGATGGAGGTTGAGGTGGGTTGAGAAAGGCGTAAAGGCGGAAAGTTGAGAGGGAAAATTTTTGTTTGAGAGGGAAGAGATTTTTTGTGAAGTGTATGAGAAGAAAAACTTAATTTGTATTGAACGGTCAAATAGATTTATGTTACTTTATCGATTGTTCATTTAAGATCTTGAATTAAAATATGAACCATCAAACTTATCTACTAATATTTATTGTTGCATTTAGACTACTTTAAAAATAAAAAATAAAATTTTAAAATAAAATTTGAACCTACAGTTCAAATTGGATCCGGAACCGTGAACCAACAATTCAAAATAAAAACCAAATCACAGTCATATATACTAATATGTGAGAATTAGAATAAATGTAAAAAATAACATACACTATTGACCCTTGAAAGTCAAATTTTAAAGAAGAGTGAATTTCATTTTTTATCTTAGATTTATAGGTAACAGTCTATAGAACCAAAATTGGTCATGTCAGAATAATATATAGGACTAAAAATGAATGTTAAAAAAAAAAAAATTAAAAGTGAACTGTCACCTATATTGGGAGCGGGTCTATCATAATCCGGGTATATAGATACAAAACTGGGGTAAGAAAATAATAGCTTTATTACTTGGGGCACTAGGCCCAAAATAGTAACGGGTATATAGGTACAGAACGGGGATTGGAAAATAGTAACTTTATTATCTGGGACGCTAGGCAACAGTAGATTCATAGAACGCGAGATTCATAGATTTTTATATTGTAGATTCATAAATTCTATACTGTAGATTTATAAAATCTTTACTCTAGATTCATAATTTCTAAGTCGTAGATTCATAATTTAAATACAGTAAATTGAACATAGAGTTCTGTAATTGTGAATATAGAGTTCAAACATATCGCCCTTAACCCCTTCACACCATTCTGAACACCACACCGCACCGCACAGGGCCATTATATGGCATGTAATTTAATGAATTGAAAATAAAACTTTAATGAATTGACATTGAAATTTTGGTGAACAATTTTAAATTAACTTTTGAATTGTATTATTTCTTTGTTAAATTTTTATGCATTATATTTAGACAAAAAAATTTAATTACATTTTTATTTTTGTTCTAGATCTTCTAAACATCTATTTTTATCTCGTAACAAAAATAATGAAGGTCCAAATTATAGGTAAAAGATAAGGTGTAACACTTTATTACACAAGAGTTGTTATGGTTTGGTGGGTTTAGCTTTGTTTGTTATGTTAGAGGTCATGGGTTCTATCTTTCTTGGTGGCATCCTTAACTTGTATTTTATACAATCATTGTATTGGTTCTCAGAGACAACACAAAATCAAACTCGTTATATCTTAGATATTGCACTTAAGTATATAAGTGTTGGTGTGGCTTAGTGGGTTTAGCTTAGTTTGTTATGTTAAATGTTAGATTATGTTAGAAGTCTCAAGTTCTATTCTTCCTAGAGGCATCCTTAACCTATTTTATAAAATCGTTGTCTTGGTTTTCACAGACAACACAAAAGTAACCCAATTATATACGAGATGTTGCACTTTGGTACATAAGAGTTTGTGTTGCTTAGTTGGTTAAACCTTAATTGCTATATTTGAGGTCATAGGTTTGACTCTTGTTGTTGTTAACATTTTTGTTTATATTTTATACAACTGTTGTCTTTTATAAAATAATGATGCGCAAAGACAACGATTTTTTTATATTTTATAACCGTTGTCTTTGTAGTGTTGTGTATTCAAATACGCTTAAAGACAACATACCAAAGACAACGGTTAAATAAAACTGTTGTTTTAAACAAATAAAGAACGCGCAATGACAACGGTTATATAAAACCGTTGTTGTTGTAGTGTTGTATATTCAAGTGCTATTAAAGACAACACATAAATGACAATGGTTAAATAAAACCGTTGTCTTTTATAAAATAATAATGCGCAAAGACAACGGTTTTAAAAAACCGTTGTCTTTGTAGTGTTGTGTATTCTAGTGCGCTTAAAGACAACACACCAACGACAACAGTTAAATAAAACCGTTGTCTTTAAAAAAAAAAAAAAAGCGCACAAAGACAACGATTTTAAACAACCGTTGTCTTTCTAGTGTTGTGTATTCTAGTGCGCTTAAAGACAACACACCAACGACAACGGTTAAAAAAACTGTTGTCTTTAAAAAAAAAAAAACACAGACAACGATTTTAAAAAACCGTTGTCGTTGTGGTGCTGTCTTTTCACAAAATGCACAAAGACAACACACTTATAACAACGGTTAAGTAAAAACCGTTGTCTTTGACAAAAGTGTTGCATCAAAGACAACAGTTTTGGACCAAACTGCTGTCTTTTATACAAAAGACAACATTTTTCTTAAAAACTGTTGTCTTTCTAGTGTTGTCTATGTGCATTTTTCTTGTAGTGGGGATGGAGATTTCCCGTCCCCGCTAAATTTCCCGTGGGGACGGGGTTCAATTCCCCGTCGGGGATGAGAATGGGGTCGGATTAGCGGGGACGAGGATGTGGAGTATACTCCCCGCCCCCGCCCCCGCCCCGCCCCGTTGCCATTCCTAAATTGCAATTTCTCCCAATCAAACAATGCAATTCACCATGTTTATTAAATCTCAATTCCTTTACAACCAAAATACAGTGTACCAAATTTGCCATTAGTACTTGATTCTGATTATTAAACTCAAACAAAATGAAAACATAACACACTTATAAATTTTGGTTATAGTTAAAAAAGAAATGTTATTTTCCCCTAATATTTTCCAACCATGATATGACTTTTTTTTTTTTTTGAAGAAATGTTATTTTGAGGAATTGTCTGTCTTTTCACATATACTTGTAATAAAATATTCAAATAACTCAATTAGAGGGTGCCACATTAGGATGAGAAATTGAAAGGAAAATGTTAGTAGGGGCCGGTGTCTAACATTACTCAATTCAAAAAAGAGAATAAGGGATGATGATCAAATAGTAAAATTTGATTGATAAGCTAACTACGTTATCAAACATGACTAATATCTTTAATAGTTTCCACATAATTGTCGTTTTTCCAAAAGTGGTAAACAAAATCAAAGGCTAATGACATATGGATAATAGTTGCGACATGATATTTTGATATGCAAGTGTTTTAATTTTTGTTTTTGTTTTGCCCTGTTAAACCTAGAAGCTTCAACAATGTTGTTTCGAGAGGAGTTGATTTGTGAAAGTATAAGAGATTTGATGCTAAATTAGTTTTTTAAATTTTAAAAACAAAAATTTGATAATTTGGTGTGAAATGCTAATTTGAGAGTTTGAGTAGCATTTCAATTTTTGATTGGTTGGGATCAATCAACTAAGGAAAAAGAACCCTATTTACAAAATGCTTATTTTAGTTTATTGATTTGATCAAATAGTTAAAGATGATCAAACAATTGCAAAATGGTTGATCAATCATTTTTCAAACACCCCCATTATAGTAGCCATATAAAATGTTGTATAAATATATGAAACTACTACTTAGACTCTCAAATTTATATTATCAACTTTTATTTACTCATTCAAATTGATGTAGATGCTTTATTTGAGATCTACATGATGAAAATAGCTTGTCATTATTTGTCACCCGATAGTAAATGTAAAGAGGCGTAGAGATTGAAAGTTATGTAATAGAACTCATAAATATATAATGACATCATCAATTTGTAATGGCAATCCCTTGGTAACTTGTAAAAATAGATAAAGGTGACGTTTGGTTGGAGATTTTTTGTACTCTATTATATGATTTGATACCAATTACTCCGTATCATGTTTGTTTCTCTATTTTTATTACTCCGTATCATACTGTTTGATTCAAGTATCTTAGTAATCATACAACCCATTACCCTTATCATCCCATACTTTATAACAATAGAATAAAAAAAAAAACCACTATCTATACATTCAATATTCAACTTTAATCACAATGCGAATATCATCGCGAAAGTAACTCCAGATAGTAGTTACATATTTTCTTGTAAATAAAAAATCAAAAATAGTCACATTTGAGTATGAAAAATACTACATATACTTTCATTCCCTATTCTTAATTTTTACTCCCACACTTAAAATATTGATATAGACACTCTTACAATGACCCATAAATCCCCATACAAAAAAATACTCCGTAATCTATTAGAGTCCCCACATAAGAGGATAAATTTGAAAAAATAAAATTTGGCAGTACAATTTGACCCCCTAAAAGATTTAGAACATGTACATTCCGTATAAATTTCAAATTAAATCAATTGTTACCGTGGCGGATAAAAAAGTGTGGATGGAGTATGGACACACAGGATAATCCTCGGATACCCTTTGTACGACGCAGATAGAGAGAAAATAAAGTTTACCTGACACCTTCCTTTTAGGAAGCAAACAAAAACCCATATCACATCCTCCCGAGCCGAGCCGTTGAGCCGAAAACCATTCGACCCGGTTTTTGAAGCAAAGAGATAAGAAGAAAAAAGCCAAGCAGTGACCGTACTAGTCTCTCTCTCTCTCTCTCTCTCATAGTTTTAGCAAGCAGGTCGTTTCTATTCTAATGGCAGTTGGTAAGCATTTAGTGTATGCTCTCTCTCTTCATTTCTCTCTCTCTATCTCTCTCTATATATATAATATATATTCGGACACACACTACTCTCACACTCTTCAATCCTCAAAATTGGTACAATTTTCTCAGAGAAGGCTAGCATTTCACCATAATCTGATTGCAAAACTGGAATTTTCGGCCTCTGAATCCCCTGTTTCCACTGTCATCTCACTCTGAGCGGAGACGCATTGCATTTCCTTGCTCTTTATCAAGGTACTCCTTGCTGTTTATTTCACGATGCTTTATTGATCTTCACGGTTTGAATTGTGATGCACAAGTGAATTTGTTTCACTCAATAATTTTTTTTTTTTAAAAAATAATCATAAGCTCTAATTTTATGATTCTTTGTTGATCTTTTTACAGTTATTTGAATGTCAATTTGGCTTTTCTAGAATTTGAATTTACCGAATTCTGGAGTTTCGGATTTTCAATGATATGCATGCGCGTGCATGTGTATTATGTTTTACTTAATATTTTGCAATTCAATTTACAGTAGAAGTAAAACTTTTGTTTATTCGAAAAAAGAAAGTTATTACTAGTAATGATTACATATTGACTTTTTATTTTCTAATTCTATTTCTAATGCTAATGGAGATTTCGTAGAAGTTTAGTGCTGTGAAATTGTTATTGTAATCACAACGAGAAAGGGCCATTGATTTGAAGAGCTTTATTAAAAACAGATTGATGGCTATCAATCTGTAAACTGCAAATAGCTCATTAAAGATTGATTTTAATAGATGTGAGAGTGTATTTAGTATATGGTAAATTTATATTTTTGCTTGAATGTGCGTATATGTATATATAGTATATAATTGTATACACTAGTCATTTATTGCAACCAAACTGAGCCCGTGATTCTCTTGCATTCATAATCAATGCTTGATGTCTCAATAGCATTCAACATTCCATTGCAAAATTCGTGTCAGTGTGCCAGATTTTTAGAATATTTACTACTATTATGTAGTCTCTTGCTTCTGTCTAGGTTCCAGAGTGTTTCATCCACATATCCTGCAGTCTCATGCACTGACATACTGAAACTGTGAACTCTGGATTACTTTGTGATGGTTAAAATTTGATTTTCAGGAATTCAATTTGAAGATTGAGCTGTTCTTCGTAAATGCTGCTTCTGATTATATCCCCATTTCAGAGCTGAACTCTATGAAGTTGAAATAAGTAGGTAGGAAGATTTGTGGAGGAGTATTGCTTTCCCAGTTGTACTAATTGGTAATTTGTTCCTTCCCAATTCATATTCTTTCTCAAAATCAAGAAACAGAAGAGAAGGGATTTTTGAATTATGTAGAATTCCAGCATTTTCATGGAGCACTAGTAGCTAATTTAGTTGATCCCTGTTGATAACTTGAGTGGGTCATTGTGAAAAATTCCTTGCTCTTTGGATTAAGAAGACCAATTCACGCTAACAAAATGATGGGGACTGAACTATGTTCTACTCGGGTCTTATCTCCTTTTCGTGAGGAGAGTGGTGATGAAGAATTGTCTGTTCTTCCGAGGCACACCAAAGTCGTTGTGACGGGAAACAACAGAACAAAGAGTGTTTTGCTTGGCCTGCAGGGTGTTGTCAAGAAGGCTGTTGGGCTTGGTGGTTGGCACTGGCTGGTATTACTCTTCACTCTCTTAGCACAATATATACAGTATATGCTTTCTATTTGTGGTTTTCTGGTTTGCATCTCTTTTCCTAGTTCACCACTGTTGATGTATGTGATTCCTTATTTGCTGATGCCATTTGATCTTAACACTGATGCCTCATAGGCCACTTGCCAGTTAGTGTGATTTCCTTTATTTGAAATGATTTGTTCTCCACTTGTTATTTCAAAAGTTGTGATCATCTAAGCATAGCTGAAGAATCAGATTCATACATGACTGGTGATAAACTAATGCAAGAAAATAAATATTGTTTATTTGAAGAAAGATTTGACTGTACTAAATCTGTTTGATTGTCTGTTACCTGAAAGTTAAATACAATGAAGGATGTAGAAATGAATTGTTATTTGGCCTCTTTTAATCATTTATTTTTTCATCTGCATGGTTCTTACTATTTAATGTTTATATAAGAAGCCCTGTTGAGTAAATATTCGACATTGAAGGTTCTGAAGAATGGAGTTGAAGTGAAGCTCCAAAGGAATGCCTTGAGCGTGTTGGAGGCTCCCACTGGGGATGAAGATGATGATTATGACTTTGATGACTCTAGCAGTGGTTCTGAAGTTGGTGAAAAGGACAATCATCATTTTCGTAAGTTGTCACTTTGTGGACCTTTCTTACATGTCTAACCTTTTTTTTTTTTTTTCTTAATTCATTTCTTTAATGATATTTAATCCTTTTCTTATTTTTCAGCAACTGGCGTTGAGTACAGAAAGGTTAGCAAGCCAAGGGTTCGTTATACAAGGCCATGGGCAGCAACAAAATCAAATAGTCGGAGTAGTAGCAAAGATGTTGAAACTAAATATTGCCATCTGTATCAACAGGTAAGTGAAAAACATGGCGCTTTTATCTGTTACTTTATCCTAGTTACCTGGTGTTTATGAGATTGTTTTTGTTTTGGACTAAATGTCTTCATCACTGTTGAATTATCAGAGAGTGAACTTTGCAAAACTAGGAACCAGCTCATTGTGGAGATATTGGCGAAGCCACAACCTCGTAAGTTTGTGTGTTCATTAATCATTTCCTAGCAGATTGTCCCAAGTATTGGCTTGCAACTAAATCAGTTCCGGCATGTTTTTGTTTAGGCAAGTATAAGTACTCCCAACCCCACTAAGGATCAATTGGTTAACGCAGTACAACGGCATTTTGCAGCACAGGTTTGTCTCCCTCCTTCCCTTCCTCACTCTAAAGACAAAACTGCTTTTCTTGTCTTTTTAGTAAAACTCTAATTTACTATGTTTCAGCGGGTTGACGAGGTGCAAGTGGTGGTGGAATTCATCCGTGCTGCCAAGAGACTCAGATCAGCTGACCCGCATTGAGATTGATCGGTGAAAGACTGTGTGTGTTCGGATTTGTAATATATATATCTCTATATATATATAAATATATGCATGCATATAACGTATATACATATGAACAACCCTAACTTAGTCCGCTAATTATAAACTTACAAATGAAGAGTGGGAGCTTCTTTGTCAGCTCACTCCCACCTCTCTCGGATCCTAACCTTGTATTATCATCGGCATTTGACCCATCTTATATATATATATTTATAACCCGTATATCCATACCCTTCTAGTCTTCTAGATTGTTCTGCATATATATATATATATATATATATATATATATATATATATGCTTGTTCTTGTTGTACGTATTAGTGTGAGTGAGCATGTGGGGTATTGAAGATATTTTGTGGGAGGTATACGTATCCACCGCATCCCAAACATGTGTGCCAGGTTGTTATTAGGTGAGTGGGGGTGATGGTGACACGAAGTAGGGTGTGTTGCTTGCTAGAAAGTGCATTAAATATGCACCAACCGTGGTGATACTTATTCTTTTTCCAAAATGTTGAATTCTTAATCTTAAGGGTCCCAGACCTCGGTATGACAGAGCATTTGGAAGGATATAAGTCACGAAGATTCAATGATTCAGCCGACAGAGCTAAATCACGGCGTGCATAAGAAATTTGCCTATTTTAAATATAAATCTCACACTGTTACTGTCGAGGTTTAAACCCGGATCTCTTTTTCTTATTAAGTGAATGGGGGTGATGGTGAAAGGAAGTAGGGTGTGTTTGCTATAAAGGGTATTAAATATGCACCAACCGTGAAGATACTTGATGGAGCGACAGGGTGATTGGTTTACGCGCTTCAAATATTCAAAACAGCATTAGTGGGTTTGAGGTTTATAATAAGTAGGGGGGGTCTCTTTCTCCTCACGTTAGGTTGGTATCAACCATTCTCCCACTTGGCCCCCCCGAAAGATTTTGTGGAAAAGGTTAGAGAGGCTGCTCTAGATTTGCTTGATTATTATGGTTTTTGTGGGCCCCGGCTGTCTCCCCTATAGAGGTCTTCTACTTGTCTTTAGGTTACTAATCCGCATGATTTAACTCAATAATTTGTTCTCTTCAACAGTGGAGTAAGTACCATTTGTTAACATAAACGTGTGGTTTGGACATTCTTAATAAAGACAACAAATGTTGCCATACAATTATCAACGGCTACTAATGTTTTTTTTTTTTTTTTTTTTTTTTTTTTTTTTTTTTTTTTTGCATTGTGCGGACCTAAATTGCGCAATTCCAATCAACTGGATATCAGGATTGGGAATTTGGGAGATCAAACATAGCTCAAGAAACGAAGAATAAGAATTTGTGGTGGAGTTAGGTTATACCTGTTAAATTCATTTGATATGTTACGTTAGTATTAGGGTCAAACCTTAGTGGATCAAGTAGAGAAAGTAGCTATAAACATATACTTCCTTATCCCATTTTATATGTCTAATTTGATTAACGAGATTTGACTGAAGTTATTTTAAATTCAAATTTTCATAATATTAATTTTTGTGTTAGTATACAAAATTTATATATTTAGAAACTACACTAAAAGTACTATTAAACACAAAAAATCAAATTTAAAAATAAGTAAAAAATACTAAAGAAAATAAATAAAGAATCAGTAGTATTAAAAAAAAAGTCAAACTTTAGGGGTTCAAGTAGTTGGTCCACCCTAAATAGCTAAAAGGAGGAATTGCAATGTAAGAATTTCTTTCATGAACTCGTTACCTTTTGTTTGATTCTGACTCTAATACAATGATATTTTTTGTCTCAAATAAAAGTAAAAATGGATAGGTGGATTAAATGATTATATTTATATATTATATCTTCAAAGAAAATTTTAAGGTCAAAGTACCTGCAAGGTCCCTATACTGTAATATTTTATTTAATTTAATCCTTATAACTTAATTTTGATCAATGTAATCTTTGTATTTTAAGATTTAGAACAATTAAAGACAATATTTAACACTGTTTATTTTTTCCGTTAAGTCTGCTCATGTGACGTTGAAATTGCCATGTCAGATTTTGTGATGTGACATAAAACAATATGATTACAAGGATTCAGACAAAAAAGGAGCAAGGACTCGAACTCACAATCTCTTATAATCATACTGTTTTATGCCACATCACAAAATTTGACATGACAATTCCAACGTCACATGGACATACTTAACGAAAAAGATCAACAGTGTTAAGTATTGCCCTTAATTGTTTTAGATCTTAAAGTATATAAATTAAATTGAACAAAATTAAAATAAATTGACTAAATTGAACAAAACACTATCGTACAAGGACCTAGCATATACTTTGACGAAATTATAATGTTTTTTGCGCACAAATTACAACTATACCGTTATTAACCGCGTCAATGTTTTTTTTTTCTTTAAATAAATAGTATCAAATGAATATGGCCCAATCAACAATAACTTTGAGTAGGGCTGGGCACTTCGGTCTTCGGTTTGGTTTTTTTCGGTTTTAGAAAAGTTGAACCATTCGGTTTAACATTATAGTTCGGTTCGGCTTCAGTTCGGTTTCAATCGGTTTGGTTTCGGTTCGGATTTAATTCCGTTCGGCTTAAGACTTTACGAGAATTACGATCATCAAATTTCAACATTTCATAATTTTCCAAACATACTACCAAACAATACCTATTCACATAATCCACATCTAAAATATAAACGTTGTATAACAAAATAATAATTCAAAGTTTAAACATACTACTAAATAGTAAATACTAACATCACATACCAGGACTATGTGTTCAAATGGTACCCGGGTTGGACTTCCATTTGGAATTGTGTTTCAGCAGGTTGAGACATGAATCACGTAATTCAAACTTCAAATCCAATGTTTAAAGAGTACAAACATGAAACATAAAATAAAAATATTCAGTTGGAATAATATTTTTATTGATAAGATGAGTAATCATCTATCTGTATAGTTGATATTAAAAGAACAAGTGTCAATTACTATATAGTTAATTTTTTGACACAATCTGTCATTGCTAATGCACTCGAAATATATTCCAGTACTAGAAAATAATTATAATGCACTGGAAATCAAAATTAAAATGACTGTAAAGCACATTAAATTTATACAAAAACATGAAACTAAGAAAAATACTGAATATTGTAAATATAACTCAAGTTAGATATAATTGTGAGGTAAAGAACAATTGCGACAAACAACAAAAGTACAATGTAGAAAACAAGCTATAAAGAAATCAAATAAAAAATTTAACGTTCAGTACCAGTAAGAATGAGAACTGAACGGTGGAGCAAGCATCAAGGAACTTGGATTTACTTCTTTATTATTATTATTATTATTATTATTATTATTATTATTATTATTTTTATTATTAATTTATTTTTATTATTAATTTATTTTTATTATTATTATTTATTAAAAACATTAGAGTAAATACCTAAAATGGTCCCTCGACTATAGCTAAATTCACAAATTGGTCCTCAACTTTCAATTTCAACCAATTAAGTCCTTAACTTTGCAATTTTGACACGATTTGGTCCTCCATCTATTTGACCGTTTGTTGACCGTGATCAACGATCTCCAGAAGAACCTTCAGCTCTCGTCGGAGCACGTGGAGGCCTCCAGGATGACGTTGCACCAGTTCGGAAACACGTCGTCTTCTTCGCTCTGGTACGAACTCAACTACATTGAATCCAAAGGGAAGATGAAGAAAGGCGATCGGATTTGGTAGATTGCTTTCGGCAGTGGATTCGAATGTAACAGTGCGGTTTGGAAATGCAACTGGAACCTTAAAAAATCGATGATGAACCATGAAATTACATATATATCCTCAAAAATCGCAGTCAACAAACAGTCAAATAGACAGAGGACCAAATTGTGTTAAAATTACAAAGTTAAGGACTTAATTGGTTAAAATTGAAAGTCGATGACCAATTTGTGAATTTAGCTATAGTCGAGAGACCATTTTGGGTATTTACTCAAAAAATTATATAGCATTCGGTTCGATTTGATTTTTACCAAACCGTTCGGTTTCGATTCGATTTGATACTAAACCATTCGGGTTACAAAATTTCGAACCATTCGATTTTCTATTACTAATTCGGATTGAATCGGATCGGTTCGGTTCGGATAAACCGAACCGAAGTGCCCACCCCTACTTTGAACTTAACCTTGATTAAATTGGCCAGTATTAAACAACAAGATGTTGAAACATTGATTTAGAATGTGTTGGGTCAATCTATAAAGTCCATTTTCATTCATACCCAAGAGTAATTGGGCTTCTCAAATCTCAATGCAGATTGGTTCAGAAAATCAAACCTAAACTGAGATGAGGTAACCCGGCCCGCTTCGCCATGATAGTTCTCCTCGGAGAGTCGGAGCAAAATCGTATCTACTACAGCGGTAGAGTCGGCAATGGAGACCATCCAACGACTCACGCACCGTGTTCTTCCCATTCCCTTTACCAGAAAATGCCTCAAACCCTATTCGAAAGCCCCATTCCACACTCGCCCAATCTTAGGCTTGCAACGTACCACGAAACCCATATTCCGACCCGATAATTCTCACATTGAATCAGTTTCGATCTCCAATTTGTCATTTGTAAGAAGCCGCCGCTCTTCTCCTGCAACTGCAAGAGCGGGTTGGTTTCTGGGCATGGGAGAGAAGAAACAGACATTGCCAGACATCGTCAAAGCTGGCGACCCGGTTCTCCACGAGCCAGCTCGGGAAGTCGCACCGGATGAAGTCGGGTCGGAGCGGATTCAGAAGATCATAGACGACATGGTAAAGGTTATGCGAAAAGCTCCAGGAGTTGGCCTTGCTGCTCCTCAAATTGGAATTCCCTTGAAGGTTGGTTTGCCTGAGAATCAATTCATTTCTCTTTATATTTGATTTTCTACTTTCATTTACAAGCATTAGTTCTTACTTACTATTGGCAAAAGAATGGAAAGATTATTAACGTAATTAGCTTATCAAGTCAATTTTGGCTTATTTGATGACTATTAGTGCTTGAATTGGTTAAACAATCTATATGAATATTTGATTAATTAGTTTTTTGTAATAATTTATTGCTTTAAAATACTAAAATTCAAAAAAGTTACTCAAACCAGATTGTTTGATCAGCTTTTTGAGAAAGTCATTTTGTATGTAATCAGTTAACAGCTAATTTATCAAACATTTTTTTACAATCAGCTAATGCTATCAATTAGTCAAACTCACTAATTCAATCGGTTAACAACTATTTACTAATACACGGCAATGTAGAACATTCATTAATACAAGTGGGATAGGCTGATTGCTAATGACTGTAATTGTTGACAGATAATTGTGCTCGAGGATACAAAAGAGTATATAAGTTATGCTTCACCGAAAGAGATTAAAGTACAGGATAGGCGACCTTTTGATCTTCTGGTATGTGAACATTTTAAGTGGTTTATTCTTTGTTAGTGATAATTGAATTTTCTGCATTACATCTCAGAGGTTTTCTTTATTCATGCAGGTGATTATAAATCCAAAACTTAAAAAGAAAGGTGACAAATCCGCCCTGTTTTTTGAAGGGTGTTTAAGGTAAGAGAGGAACAACTGAATTCTTCCCCAATCCTAGTTTTCAGATTGAGCTCCCCTCTTTAATTGTTTGACCTTTAAGGATAAACACTAGACTAGTTCATGCCAACTCATATCTGATGCGATAAAGTTTCTTTTCAAATGTTGTTTCAACCTACTCCATTAGAAGATTATCCCAGTAACTTATTCAAAGTGCCCAGATTATCCCAGGAACAATATTCTTTGAATCTTTGATATCTGCAAGACTGAAAGATCTAATCTTGAAATCATTTGCAGTGTTGATGGGTTTAGAGCAGTGGTGGAAAGACACTTGGAGGTTGAGGTCACGGGTTTGGATCAAAGTGGGCAACCAATCAAAGTGGATGCTTCAGGTTGGCAGGCCAGGATATTACAGCACGAGTGTGACCACTTAGAGGGCACCCTCTATGTTGACAAGATGGTTCCAAGAACATTCAGAACTGTAGATAACTTGGATTTGCCCCTCGCCGCAGGATGTCCTAAACTAGGCTCCAGATAGCTCCTTCTTCTTCCCTGAAACCCTGATTTCATTCTTCACCATCCCTCTCCATTGCTTGTCTGTTGTTTCAAGATGGGATAGGACAAACTTTTTTTATGTTTCTCTTTTTAAGATCATATTTTAGTTTTGTGTCTATATTTTTTGGTATGATGAGAGAAACTTCATAACGCTTTTGGGTAGATAAATTCTATCTTGTAATCTTAACCAGAAAGGATGAGTAAATCAGCTTAGATTACCCTAACTGATCAAGAATTCAAAATTGTGACTTGATTACAAGAATGAATCTTTTACTATCTTGGCTGGTTACCTTTGTTTTGTTATATTTTGATATGAAAGATAAAGAAAGAGTGAAAATTCATACGCAACCAAATATAATTAGGGACTTTACTTTTACGAAACTAATGTCTTGTTAACACCAACACAAAACCAAACACACATAATAATCAAATACAATGATACGAGTATGCCTAAATCTCCATCTCATCTGATCTGTTCTTAGGTGAAGAGCAAGAAAAGATTTGGGTTGGGGTGATGTAGAGTCTAGACATGAATGTGTTGGTGCTTAGATTGCATCATCTGGATATTGTGCCTGGAACATGACCTGGGCATCTCGCCGGCAAGAGGGACCACCGGAAGATTGTCGCAGTTGCAGATCTCTATCATGAAGCCGTCGGGGTCGTGAAAGAAAAGCTGATCCACGTAAATCCCTCCTTCTTCCACCCTTTGCCTCACGTTCTGTATTTCCATATCCTTCAGCTTCTTCTCCACTGCATCTATGCTCTCGCACTATATCATAATCATTACACACAACTTTATCGTAATCATAATTTCATATCTCATCTCATCATATATAATAATTAAGAAAAGGGAAAAAATAAACAAATTACCTGGAAGGAGATATGGTTATCTTTGGGATTGATTTCGGTTTTCTTTGGCAAATTCTCTGGGTCTTCAGATTGAAGGAGATGAATTCCAACTCCATAGCTAAACAGCCTGCATGTTTTTGTAGAAATTAAACCAACAACATAACATTCAAAGACCCATAACGTAAGAATTGAAGGAAGAACATAACATACCAAGCTCCATCGAAATTGAAGGAACCGGGCCTTCTAACAGGGACAAAACCCAGAATGTTCTTGTAGAAATCGATCGATTCCTCCACCGATCTGCACACGATAGAGATGTGATTCAGAGACTTGAGGGCCAATGGGTTTTCAGTATTTTCCTTCATTTTTGGCTTTTTCAAGATAATCTCGAGGAGTTTCAAGAAAACGGATGACTGCGAAGAGACGATGAATAGGATGGAGTTTGAAGATGCAAGAATGCGAATAGAGAAGATGGTAATATAGGAGAGGGAGCGCTTACGTGTCAGCTGTTCAATTGGTTGACACGTAGATCCCACGTTGCTGAGTCAGGTCGTAATGTCATTATCCTTTCTCCCTCACCAATTTGGTTTTAGAAATTTCCAAAATTTTTTTACTCATTATTTAAATTTTAGTAATCCTAATACAGATTAACTAAATCAAATTATATTATCAAATGGCTCCAATACCGATCAAAGGATTGGGAATGATTTTTTCTCTCTAGAAACGCATCTTTGGCTTTCTGGTTCTTTTTTGGTAAGTTCCGCCGTACGCGTCCTAGCCGTTATGGCGGCCAGCGGCGGTCCGGCGGCCATGCAAACATCGATGGAGAGCGACATCCCCCCACCTTCGGACCCTATGGAGGAGGCGGAGACGGATCAACGCTCCCACAACAAAGCATGCACGTATAAGCGTTCTTTCGCGGAAGCTATTGCATCTCCATTGCTGTTGAATGGAGACGTCCCCCCCACCTCGGATCTTAACGACTGGGCGTTTGAGGACCCAGAATTGGAGCCTAATGGTGACATGAATACGCAACCTAGAGAAGATGGGATCCCAAGAGTCTATCCCCTTGGAAACCAGGAGGGAGCTTTGCCAGAAGTGGAAGCTCGCCTTGATCATCAGATATCTAGGTAAAAATATCAGTTTTAATGTGCTAAATAAAAGGCTGCCAACGATCTGGGGCCTTCAGGAAAAAATGGAACTTATCGATATTGGATACGGCTGCTTTGTGGCTCGCTTTAGCAGCAGAAGGGATTATTTGCATGTCCTCATCGATGGTCCCTGGAAGGTGTTCGATAACTACCTTGTTGCTCAACGGTGGGTGCCACAGTTTGATCCATCTAAGGCTAAGCTTGCAAAAATGGTCGTTTGGGTGAGGCTGCCCAAACTCTTTGTGGAATACTTCAGAGATGACATCATTAAGAAGATTTTGAACAACGTAGGGAAGCCGCTGAAACTCGATAGAACCACTACAGCTGTGACCAAGGGGAGGTTCGCCAGAGCTGCGGTGGAAATTGACCTTGACAAACCTTTGGTCTCGGAAATCTGGGTGAACGATCTACTCCATGAGGTGGAGTACGAAGGCCTTCACGTGCTGTGCTTTGGATGTGGCATTGTTGGACATCGCCAGCAAACATGTCCGCACTCAAAAGCACCATCAACTCCGGCTGACAACACGATGGATCTTAATGCAGAACCAGTCGTGGAGAAGGATGTGATGCCGGACCCGGCTCCGGCGGAGCAGCCACCCCCAACTGAGACCGCTAGGGCCAAATATGGTCCGTGGATGGTGGTGACTCGGAAACGTTCCGTGGAGGCTGCCAAGAAGAATCATAATCAGACCAAAAGCAAGAATGCAGCACCCCGACCCAAAGGTAACCAATTCCAATCCTTGAGTGGATTGAAGGAATCGAGTAAGGACAACCGCCAGTCTTCCACTAAAAATAACCAGAAGAAAAAGAATGGTGAGAACGGGAAATGTAAGTCTTCTAATCCTGCTCCTTCTCATCCGTCAACCCCCTATGTTCAGGGGATTAGCGTGACACCCATTCAGAGGGCTGCTCAGGTGGATCGGGTGACGGCCCAACGTTCCTCCGGCCAAGTTGGCGGTGGCCGTGGGGGTTCTCGCACGACCTTCCGCGGCGGTACCAGGATTGCGGGTAGAAGAGGGACAACTGATAATTCTATCTCCTTTGATGCTAGTAGTTTTGCGCCGGGCGAGAGTTCTGGCCTTGGAGCCTCTGCTTCATCCTTCCAGTTTGGGGGCTTGAATGCCACCTTTACTGGTTTTGGTTTTGGGAACTCGGGTCTTGAATACCCAGCCGCCATGGCTTGTTTCACGCCTGGAGAAGGTGGTTGCCAAACTTCTCTGCCTACCGATATCTCTCAATGATTGCCATCTCCTGGAATTGTAGGGGTGTTGTCAATGGACGTGTTAGAAAGCACGTAAGAGAGCTTTTACGCTCGTCCAAAGCCGATATCCTTTGTCTCCTGGAGATCCGTTCCCCCAGAGTGGAGGGTATGGTTAATATGGCTATTTCCATGTGATTCACTAATCATTTTCTAGTTGAGCCCATTGGTTTTGCAGGTGGTTTGCTCCTCTTTTGGAAGCAGGGGCAAACAGATTTACAGGTTGTTAAACACTCCTCACAGGCAATCCATACGAAGGTGGCAGGAGGCTATGTCACATTTGCCTATGTCAGACCTAACCTGATGGCCAAGTCTAGATTTTGGGAGGACTGTAAGCTGTTCAGTAACTCTATTCAGTGCCCTTGGATTCTCATGGGCGACCTCAATGATATATCTATGGTAGAAGAGCAATGGGGAAGTGAATTTATTAACATCCCGGGTATGCAAAGATTCACCGATGTTTTTAGTAGCTGTGGACTCATAGATCCTGGATCGGTTGGTACTAAATTCACTTGGTGCCGCTTTGTGGGTAACCGAGTTACTCAGATGCGCGCGCCGGCTTGATAGAGTTCTTTGGAATATGGATGCTCAGTTGGCCTTTCCCGAGGCCAAGGTTGTGGTCCTTCCACGGCTACACTCTGATCACAACCCAATTCTTTTCATGGATGTGGCGGGCGCACCGCCGGATAGAAATCTCCGTCCGTTCCGGTTTGAGGCAGCTTGGCTTAATAGAGAAGACTATGGTCTGATTTGGAAAAATGCCACGAAAGGAGGCGAGCAAGATATTGATAACATCCTTGGACATATCACAGAACATAGCAAATCCTGGAATCGTGATGTGTTTGGCAATATTTTTAAACGGAAGCGCATCTCGAGGCCAGGATTCGGGGTATCCAATCTAGTCCCTACTATGCTACCTCGAGGGGGCTCCAGGCCTTGGAAAAACGGCTTGCCGCTAATCTCATGCAAGTGCTTGATCAGGAAGAGACTCTCTGGTTCCAAAAGTCAAGGGCCAACTGGATTAAAGATGGGGATAGAAACACCCGGTTCTACCATAACTCTGCCATTATTAAGAGAAACAGAACAGAATCAGGTTCCTCAAAATAAACGGTAATTGGACAGATGACAATAATACTCTTGCTAACCATATCACTTCGTTATTTGCTTCGCTTTTTGACAGAATTGACAGGAATGGGAGCTCAGAATTGGTTCAGATTGCAGAGGATCGTAAGATTTCGAGACAACAAGCCATTCAGTTGTCTCGGAGAGCCACGATAGAGGAAGTTAGGAAAACAGTTCTTGGTATCAAGAAGTTCGGTAGCCCCGGTCCAGATGGCATCCTGGCGGTTTTTTATCAACATTTTTGGGAAGATATTGGACCAACTCTTACGGGGTTAGTCAACCAGGCTCTTAGCACCAGCAAAGTCCCGACTTCTCTTCTGCGGGCGTTTATTACTCTTATTCCCAAAAAAGATGTCTCGGAGATAGCCTCTGACTTTAGGCCCATTACTCTGCTCAATGTGGCTTTCAAAGTGGTGTCAAAAGTTCTAGTCAACCGTATGAGGCCCATCATGTATCGGCTTATAAGACCTCACCAAAACAGCTTCCTCCCGGGCCGCTCAACCTTGGATAACGTGATTCTCACTCAAGAAGTTATCCACACGATGAATAAGAAGATGGGTAGAAAAGGACTTATGGTCTTCAAAGTGGATCTCCAGAAACGGACCAGAAGGCCTATGATAGTGTGGATTGGTCCTTCCTTGAAGAAACTCTTGATGGGTTTGGTTTTCCCAGAAACATCACGCAGCTCATTCTCTTCTCTCTTAAAGAGAGTGACATTTCTATCCTTTGGAACGGTGGACGTCTGCCCTCCTTTTCCCCGGGACGTGGACTCCGTCAGGGAGACCCGCTTGCCCCTTACCTCTTTAACCTGATTATGGAAAGACTGGCCTTTGACATCCAAAAAGAGGTAGCTGCGAAAAACTGGAAGCCCTTATCGGTCTCTAGAGGCGGTATTGGTATCTCGCACCTTTTCTTCGCAGACGATCTAATGCTATATGGTGAAGCCTCGACACATCAAGCTAAGGTTATGATGGATTGCCTAAACAAGTTCAGTCACGCCTCCGGCCTTAAGGTAAATCTCTTTAAGTCCCAAATTTTTTGTTCACCCAATACTAATGCAGGGGTCAAAAGAGACATTAGAGAACACACAGGAATCCCGGTAACTTCGTCCCTAGGTACCTACCTTAGGATCCCCCTTCTTCACAAGAGGGTTTCCAAGACGACCTTTTCAACCGTTATTGATAAGATGCGAAGAAAGCTAGCTAACTGGAAAGCTAGTACCCTAAGCATGGCAGGTAGAAGGGTTTTGGTCCAGTCCTCTCTAGCCACAACTCCAACCTATATCATGCAATCCATGGCCTTACCGGTAAGTACTTGTAACAGTATTGACAAGATTTGCAGGAACTTCTTATGGGGGCACTCGGAAGACACAAGAAAGGTGCACTCGGTCAGCTGGTCTGAGGTGTGTGCACCACGAGACATGGGGGGGTTGGGTCTAAGGCAAGCCCAAGAGGTCAACAAAGCCTTCCTCACTAAGCTTGCGTGGCAAATAGTTTCCAATAAAGATAAACTCTGGGTCCAGGTTATGACCCAGAAATACATGAAAGACGGGAATTTCTTCTCGGTTGACACTTCCAATAATTGTTCCTGGGGATGGAGAAGTATTATCAAAGGGCGCCAAATTCTCCAACAAGGCGTCAAATGGAAAATTGGTAATGGTAACACCCTCAACTTTTGGCACGACCACTGGGTTGGGGACGTCCCGCTTGCTTCCCTCCCAAATGTTGTGCCTCCCCACGATGCGGCGCAACAAACGGTTAGTCACTTTATTTCCCCAAATAGAACCTGGAATATCAGACTCTGCTCAGACTTACTGCTGACGCCTGTAGTCGACACTATTCGGGCGGTCCCGATCAGCATCAACAGCGAGCAACAAGATTCCCTATCGTGGTCTCCTTCAGGTACGGGCCTTTTTTCT